CATTTAGGGGTGAGCATTTTAACCGAACCGACTGTAGAACCGATGGAGTAAAACCGAACCGACCGAAATTTCGGTTTCGGTTTCGGTTTCGGTTAGTGGTTAGCAAAAAAATCGGTTACTTCGGTTAATCGGGTCGGTTTTCGGTTTTGAACTTAAATAGTTAAAACCGACCGAAAAACCGAATCCAAACCATTATAGCATAATCCAATCAGATGCCTAGCCCAAAACTAAGTTAACCCAATCTATTTATCCAATTTAGATGCCCAGCCCAAAACTAATTTATCCTCAATCCAGTACAAATGAAATAAATATATGGGGGCTGGATGCACCGCACAAAGGCCACAAAGAAACCCTATACAGCACTCTCTCTCCTCACTTTCTAAGTTCTTCACCGACTCACCTTCTCGGTTTCTCCAAGCTCTGTCGCTGTGAGTCCGAGACCAACTACCTCTCCAGTCGGACGATCGTTTCATTCAGTCGTGCCTTTGTGGAATTTTGGCATTATTTTCTCATTTTGATTTTTGAAGATTATATTTTGTGTTTTTGGGCCTCCAAATTTGGACTGTTTTTTTTTGTTATAATGTTGTTAGGTTTTACCAGAGTACTACTCCCTAATATTTTTCCAAATGCTATGAATCTTTTTTTACTCTTGACCATTAATTATCAATTAAAGTGTTCATTTAGCAATTTCCCCTGTCCATATCATTTAATGTCTTGTGCATTTCGGTTTTAAATAACCGACCAAAACCATTCGGTTTTATCGGTTTCGGTTTGCTCGGTTTCTCAATATATCGGTTCGGTTTCGGTCGGTTATTATATATTGAAAAAAAGTTCGGTTATTTCGGTTTTGACCCGAAACCGACCGACCCGAACCGATGCTCACCCCTAGGTACATTTGGCGGACATATGTTAGAAGTAAGCACGCATGGTGGTCACGTGAATTAATATTGGCCACATCAGAGGACACTTTTCAACACTAGATCAGAACTCTTGAATTCTCTTTTATATATACATATAGGAAGGATTTGTACATTTGGCGGACACATGTTAGGAGTATGCATGCATGGCTGCCACGTGAATTAATATTAGCCACATCACAGGACCCATATCAACACTACAACTCTTGAACTCTCTTTTAGATATACATATAGGACATATAGGATAGGATAGAACGTAACTTGAAAACAAGCATTATGCCACTGTTTTAAGTAGAAAAATGCTAGGGGTACAGGTGTACCCCATTTGTCCCCCACCCTCCACCACATAAATGAGCAAATACTTTTTTAAAAAATTAAATAAAAAAATTAAATAAGAATGAGTGGTGAAGAAGAGGGTGAAGTGACAAATGGGATACACCTTTGGTGTACCTCTAGCATTGCTCTTTTAAGTACTCCATATATTTTGTGCTACTTCAAACATTTGGTATACAAAATAATGTACAAGTGTGGTGTACAAGTAGCATGATTCTTTCTTTTTCATTTGTTTCAAAAAAATCTTAACTTCTTACAAAAGAAATTTGTTTGCTTATTTAAGTTTTCCCTCTTTTACATCAAAAACACATTCTTTTTTTAATAGATATTCCTTCCGTTCACAAGTCAATTTGAAATGCATATAGATCCTGTTATTTTTTAAATATTTTTATTTACAAATTGATATAGAAAAAACTTATACTCCGTATATTTAAAGATTGTTCCCAAATGTTTTGATAATAAGAGATAATAAAAATATTATATATTATGAATGATCAATGAAATATGTTGAAAACCAAAGCAATTGAAACATTGTAATACTCTGCAGTAAATAGGTACTCCTAATTATTTTGGGACAAAGGGAGCAATGGAGCATATCAATTTGATTGTAACTCTTGCTTGAACAAGAGTCTCTTGGAAGACAAATTATTACTCTCTTCATCCTAAATTAAATTGGGGAAATGTTTGGTTCACAAATAGAAAAGTCAAATATAGTAAATTTTGAATTTTATTATAAACCAGTTTGTGAATTCCAATAAAAAGTAAAGTACTTTGGAATAAATTAAAAATGAGAATTTTCTTTAACCTTAAATGCTAAGTTTATAAATTTTGTGATCATTTTATTTGTAAAATCTTGCATTTTCTAATTATTAAACTATACGGAGTACGGAGTATTAATTTTTCGAAAACTAAAAAATAGCCTTAATCTCAATCAAAGCTTACTTTAACATATTTCAATTCCGTCTAATTGCTTTAGCAATCTTTTTAAATTATTATTATCTTGTTTAACTTTGAGGAGAGCTCTTGGTTTTCTTGCCAATTTTTCCGGCGATTGCCTTCATTTTTTCCGGTCGTCAACATTCCTACGTTGTTCTTGTTCGTTGGTGTGTGGTTGGTCCGTACAATCTCCACACACGATAGCGGTTTTATTCTGGGAGGAGAGTGCCCACGTTTTCCAGTACGGTAGGCGGGCACTACTACCTAAAGGACAGCTCCGGCGACTCCGCTGTCCTTCCGTGGTATTTTCGCAGGACTAGTTGATATAGACCTCGGTGCATTCTGTCATAGTGCATAATGTCCTCGCAGCCCAGTACATAATGTCCTCGCAGCCCTGTGCATAACGTCTTCGAATTGCTGTCCAATGCTTAAAGACCTCGCTGTCCAGTGCTTAAAGACCTCAATGTCCAGTGCTTAATGACCTCGTACAACAAGGCGAGTTGAAGATATTTAAATTTATTTTCAACTTTGTTTATTTTGTAATATTCTGAATAAATTATAAATTCAGAATTTTATATATTTTTATTTCCGGGGTCGTTCATCTTTCTCGTCCGTTGTAATCCGTACGAGAATTGTAACAATTATTAGTTACATTTCCAAATCTCATTATTTGAATGATTATTATTCCGTATTTTACTTTGTATTTAGGCTGCGTGAACTTTATTTTGAACAAACATAATAGGAAAATGTGAAGTTAATTGGAAGATGGAGGAGTATACGATGGAATATGCTCAATTTTGTTTGAAAAATGCTAGGGTGGAATATGCCCATATATCCCCACCCCCTCCTTGTCCACTAAAAAAGTTAAAAAAATTTTAAAAAATAAGTAAATAAAAATAAATTAAAAATGCGTGGAGAATGGGAGGTGTACATTTGGGGTACACCTTTTGGTGTACCCCTAGCATTGCTCATTTTGTTTTATTGGCAAAACCATAGCTAGCGGCGAGGCATCTCCTCGACTCGCTGAGCCACATCACCGAAATTCTCGCTCGCTTGGCGTGGAGTGGCAAGACCGTAGCACCCCGCCAAACATTCAATGCACGTGTCATATTTCTTTTTTTATTTTTTTATTTTTCTGTACAAAAAAAAGAATATTTTTTTAAAATAGGAGTACATCTATTTTTGTAAAAAAAAGATAAGTAAAATAATTTTTTTAATTAAAATATGTTTAAAAAGTGTAAAATTGACAAAAAAAATTACGGAGTATTTGCCACTGTAAGGCATATCACTCCATTCACTTATCACACACTGATTGGACGTGTTTTGATTAATTAAAATTATTTCATGTCATTGTGTAACATTCCATTTTCTACTTGTCATTATCCATGCTCTAAATGCACGTGAACTTGTAGTGATGATTAAAGTTGGGATGAAGCTATTTGCATCTCATTTTGTACACCACATGGATGCACTAATATTTTGTATTGGTGTAATACTAATTTTTGTTAACGTAATAACACTTTGTGTCGGTGTAAATTTTTGTTAACGCATCAACACTTTGTGTTGGTATGAACCATTAAAATGTTGATACATAACTTTGATGTGCAAATGAGATACAAATTTTGGAGTACGAAGTAGTTTGCTCCTTAATGTTGTCTTATGTACATCCATACCCTCCATGTAACCAAGGAACTATTACCCCCTATAAGTATTTACTCCGTATTTTATTATTTATACTTACATATTTTACATGTTAATGCACTATTGCAAATATTTTAGGTTTTGTATTATCAAAGTTATGACTTACATACTACTCCGTATACCATATACATAGTATTATAGATACATTTTAACCATTATAGATCAATCCACAAACACATAGTCAATAGTTCTCAAAAAACAAAATCCACATTTAAAATACGAAGTTTCTCAAAATAGTTATGGCCTTGCATATGAATATTTTTCATTTTGTAAAAGACTCACTTCTTTATTCTATAAATTCACTTGAATATGAATCTTAAGTCCACAAAATAATTTGTCAGTGTATCCTAACACCCTTGCATATGAAACGGTAAAAATTAAAAAGTTGGGAAAATAACTTCTGAATCTTTTTTCTTTCATTTATACCACCAAAACAAATACACTGATTGATGTCTACAAGACTACAACTCTACAAGTAACAGAGTTGAGCAGTCTAACATTTTGACTGCACTATTTTATCACTGTACAGTAATAGAAGATCTTCAGCGTAAGATTTTTTCACATTTCAAGGGTTTACGCTGCAAATCCATCATACCTGACCAGAAGGATAGAGCTTTTTATACCCCAAAATTTTGTACCCCATTTGTATAATGCAAATTTGCACTTATTTTGTGTTAGTATAAAATTAATTTTTATTAACGTACCAACACTTTGTGTCGATGTAAATCATCAAAATGTTTGTGTATAAATGAGGTGTACAAATGGTGTACAATTTTTGGTGTAAGTTTAGCATGGCCATGACCAAAATTGGGGCTCAGATTTTACTATGTAAAAAACCCATCTTTAACAAAAAAAAAATATAAAGAAAAAACTATACCCATGTTTTCAAAATAGAGAATCATCCTTTAGGCCTATGGATCTCGTCGTTTAGAAGCCGAGCCACTAAGCCTCGATCGGTTGATGAGGGATGGCTTTGTAGTAGACGGTGTAGTGCTTCAAGTTCTTCGTCGCTGGCCTTCTTAAAGAGACCAAGTAATGATCTATCACCCTCATCTCTTGGTTTTGGTTTCTGGTTGTCCCCAAACACAGCTGGCCCTTGTTGAATCTCCTCCGATGGCCGTGAATTCCAATACTCCAAACACGCCCTATCATGGTCCAGGGCTTGAATTGCCTGTTACAAGACAACTTCAGTTTACTAAGCAGTAACAAGTTATGTGTCGACACACTTAATTGCAGTTTCATAAGTTTGCCTTGTGTCATTGTACTTAGTTTTTTCTTTTTTAAAAGATGAAATGTTTTTCCATTGTGTATAAATGTATCAGGGAAAAATAAATTTCATCCTGTTGACAAAGAACCTTGGCTGGTTCAAAAAAATTTCCTGAATAAATGAGCCTGAGAAAGACCGAACATTTCCATGCCATCGAAGCTTTGTAGGGCTTACCTGGACGATTGTCGGAGAAGAAAGTCCAAACATTTCCAAGCCATCGAAGCTTCCAGGAGGTTGGAGGGGAGGAAGATTTGTTTTTCCTGTCTTACGTAGTGTAGCAATCTGTCGGTTAAGTCTTTCCAGAACCATTTCCCAACATTTTACTGCGGAAAACTGGATAAATACTTCACTCGGACAATTCTCCAAGGAGACCTGAAAGTAAAGCCACAATTATTATGAGCTCAAAGTAATGTTTGTAACCATCTGTTCTCTATACATCTATTGGCTACATGTGTAATGACAATGCCTAACTTAGCAGCACAGGGTGTACTCAACTATGATTGCATGACATTATTAATTACCATAAACAAAGGTCCATAATGTCCAGCATCCAGAATTTCAGAGACATAATTGCATGTGCTGGTTGGATCTAAAACGTTTATGTATCTGGTGCGACTCCTAAATCCTGCACAAAACAAAAAAAAAACTTAGCAGCTAATCAATTAAATGTTGAATGTATATAACTCAATTGGACTCCAAGAGCAGTCCAAGTTCAAGGAACATACCCTTTGGGTAAATAGCACGAACATCACACCATAACTTTCCCGGGTGAATAACTCCATAATCAAGAACTTCAACATTGCAATTCATTTTTCTCACCACTTTAGCAATACGAGGGCCTTTTTTCCTGAAACATCCATCAGCATTAACTTGAGGATGTAATGATGCTTGTGCAAAATCCATTGACCTTGACTTTACATCTACATCCACTTTCTCAGCACTATGAGAACCCTCAGAACTTTCTAGAGCACAACTTGTACCCCCTTGAGAACTCCCAACAACTGTTGTCCCAGTCTCCTCATTCTCATCATCACTAAGAATGATAACATCATCATCATCCCCGGGAACAGAAGCTCTTACTCTGGGCTTGCTTTCTGTAGCAACTGTTTTGTTTGATGGACACTTTTCAGAAGTATGATCAACTTGAATTCGGTTAACTGGCTTGATTAACTCTTTGTTGTTTAGGTATGAACTCATGGAGAGACCAAGATCTTGCCTTGCCCATCGATATATTGAACTAAGTTTCCCTACCAAAGCTTCTACCAACAGATTTAACTCGGTGATATCGTAACGAAATAGGAAAAATCTGGAAGCATCCGGACATGAACACAGCTGTTTTGCGTGGTTCAAGCATGCATATTTTTTTGGTGAGCAGTTGTGACACCCAGCTGCAGAGAGATGCAGATCAAAGAAGCATATGCTGCATTCCCTCTCACAAGTTGCATCGAAAGTGCTTTCCATCTTTAATGTCTGTGAGGAACTGCAAGTAAATTCCCTCCGCACCCGTTCTGTATCAACACGACTCTAACAAAAAAGAAGAAAGAAACTATCAGCACCATGATTTTCTTGTCTTCATTGCATATTTCGCACACACAATAGCATAAATCTAAACCTTATGGCCTCATATGATGTTGGACAACTGAAAGGATGGACAAAGGAACTTAAACCAACCTCAACTAGGATGCCCCAACCCATTGATGCAATGGGCCAATGCCCCATAAAACACCATCAGTCCAAGTTATGATATCATGTTAAAATGAGTCAAACTCACTCCAAAATGGTTCTCAAGCAATGAGTTTACCGTACACATATATGCTCAGCAATAACCAACTACTTACATATGTATATCACGCAAAATAGCAGACTCAGATATAACTCATTGAAAAAATATGTAAATTATATAGGCCCAAAAGAACGGGACATATATAGGGAAAAAATAACATGTAAAACAAGCAATCACCTTTAACACATGAGACAAAACCCCATCTTTTCCGCAAACATCTCTCCATCTCAAGTTATCTGAAGTATTCTTCCTCAGTAAACTAAGTTCCCATTGTGCTCTGACAGCATCCCTTGCAGCGCCAAGCAAGAGTTTATCGTGTGAAATGGACGTCCTGCGCCTTTGACCTGAATAGATCTCTATAGCATTCTGTCCATGAGGTAACCAGTCCATTGGAGCAACATTTACAGCTTCAGCACAATTGAATCCACAGTTGAAACCAGCATGATAAGCTCTAGGGAAGGTGAGAACAAATTCCCCAGAGTTCTGAACACATCGATATACAGGTACTCCTTCAGACTTGAGTATGGAAGGAGAGAGTTGTGTGACCTGCATAAAAAACCAAAAAGTTGAAGGGAAGATCTTTCATATAAATATAGTCAAATGACATGAGCAAACCAAATTGATTTTTCATTGAGACTAAAATAAGTACAAAGACAAAAGACAATAGACAGAAGACAAAAGACAATAAATAAGTACATAAGACAGAAGAGAGAAACTAAATTATAATAAATGGAGGATATTGGGGATATGTATGTGTGTGTGTGTGTATAAAGCTGCAGATAGATGCTCTCACAAGCTTATGAAGCAAATCCGGCTGTTCATCAAAGAGGGATGGCAAATGTTTCTTCATAGCAGCTTCCAGCTTCAAAGCATCTGCCCCAGGAACACCATACCACAATTTTGGAGATCCCATATGCATGTAATTCAAAGAGTACAGATGGTGATCTTCAACATGCTGTAACATCAAACATGAGCATTAAGAACTTCAAACCAGCAAAATAACAAGCAAT